TGCCAGGATAGTAAAGTTTTGTATGTCCAATGGTCTGGGACAACTCAAAATATCCCCTGTACTATAAGAAACTGTTGCATCTTGTGTAACCTGCCACTGAGAACAAGAGCTTGGGAGCTGCTCTCTGCATCCCTCTGAGTCAGCTGACAACTGGGTGGAATGGAGTTCTGAAATCTGGTGTGTGCTATTTACAAGCCAGTTCTAGGTACGTTCCAGAGCAGAAGAGAGCTCTTCAGCAAGTTCAGTGGTTCATGCCACGTGCCCAGCAGATCCAAGGTGCTGGGCGTGGAATCGCAGCATGGAGCCCTGGAGCTCCAGAGGAGAGGTCTGGCTCTGCTGCATGGAGCGTCCTGACTTGAAAGCAATGCCTGGGTTTCAGCAGTGGGGGCATGTCTGACCATCAGAAGGAAGCTCTGGAGCGAGCACCACCCATCATGGGGTCCGTGCTGGGCCAGTGTCTGAATCTTTGCAGGCTGCCTCACTGAGGATGCAGGGGCCCCGTACAAGCCTCTTTTTAAAACCACTCTATACTGTGAACACTGTTAAAAGGAAAACATGATTTGTATAACTACAAAGTATTCCATATTTGGATTATAATATAGTCCTCATTTTATGAATATTATTGTTTTTCATTGTTGACTATTGCAGATATCCCCCATTTCCCCCCCTTTGCCCCCCTCCACCCAGCACCCACCCCTCCCTCACCCTCACACATGGTTGTCTGTGTCCATGGGATATGCATACATGCATATATGTTCTTTGGCTAATCTCTTCCAGTCTCCCCCATCGCCCTCCCCTCTGAGACCTGTCAGTCTGTTACATGCATCCATGCCTCTAGTTTTATTTCATTCATCAGTTTATTTTGTTCTTTAGATTCCACATATGAGTAGATCATATGGTACTTGTCTTTCTCTGACTGGCTTACTTCACTTAGCACAATAATCTCCAGATCAAGCCATGCTGTCACAAAGGGTAAGAGTGCCACATAGCATTCCACTGTGTAAATCTACCACATTTTTTGTATCCACTTGAAACCAGAAAAGTCACTGTTTGTGCTTCTTGTCACTACCAAAACCAACATGCAGAGACAGGGGTGGAATCTTTAGGGGTGCTTTATTCAGATGGCTGGTGATCTGAGAGAAGATAGCAGGCTATGTACTCTAACAGACCATCTTATGTTTCCTTTCAAGCCAGGCTTTTTATACAGAGGGAAAAGCATAGGTGCGGGATGTGGAATTCAGGAAAGAGGTTAATCAGATGAAAGCTGCAGTCCGCACTTTCCCTAGCATCCTTTGTCCTGTGCCCCTGGGTGATTTTCTTTATCTGTGTCCTGGGCTGCTTGCTGGATGCCTCTCCCTGGAACACAAGGGCTCAGTACCCCCGGGGCACAAAGGTGGGATGGCTGTGGTCTCCTGGAGTCAGGGTGGGCCATCCCTTCAGTTCCTGAAATAATAGCTTTTGTCATGAATTAACTACGAAGCTTATTATCTATTACCTAAAGCTAAAATTTCTCAACTCTTGAGTTCCCCGATCACACTCATCTACTAATGGGCACTTGGGCTGAATATTTTTTATTTTCAAACTAGTCTTTACTTCTTTAAAAGGAAAACGAGCAGTGCCAAGAAGAACTCCAAGCCACACCCTGGGGAACTCTGTGCCGCGTTTGCCAGAACCCCAAGCCTGCCTTGGGGAGCCCGCTGTAGCAGCTGGGAGAGCCCCACACCCCACCTGAGAAAGCCCTGAGCAGCACCTGGAAGAGCTTCATGTAATACCTTGGGGGGGGGGTGGCAGGGGGGCTGCGCAGTACCTGGGAGAGCCCCGTGCAACACCTGCGAGAGCTCCATAGTTGTCACTGCTTACAAACTCGAGTCCTAAGAATATGGGAGTAAGTGCTTGCCGGGCACCCCTAGTTTTGGCACATGTCCTCTTGCTAACTAACACTCTGCCTTCTGATCAAGGGTGCCTGCTGACAGCTGCCCCGACTCAAGAGTTCTGTCACCAGGAGTTGTTTCAACTTGATGTTCTTGTGGATTTGATTCGGACGTAACTGTCGATTCCCAGGCTCACCACTGTGGGAAATTTTCTGATTCAATGACATGGACCTTTCCTGTGTACTCTGAGCCACACACATTTTAAGATCGTTCAGTTTGCTCTCACACTTCAGTGATAGTCTGGCTGCTTCTATTTTAGGTTCAAAAGCAGCTCAGAACTTGAAGAATTGCTGTGTTTTAAATTCTACAAAATCCGAAGCCAGTTCCAATATTGGGTATCCATCTATTGTAGGTAACCTTATTTCTTTTTTTCACTCTTCCTGTCTGGCTCTTGGGGCATACTTTGGGTCTAAAATCTCAAATCTCCATGAGGTACCGACACATTTTCTTTATATTTTTTTCTTTGTTTCTTCTCCTCCATCCTCTCCATGCCTCTTCCAGAAATCCTGACAGATAATACTGTGTCTCCAGCTTTTGTCCTCCATGTCATTTAAATTTGCTCTCTTAATTATCACTTCTTCACCTCTCTCTTCCAAGAGCTGCAATAATTCCTTGATTTCACTGTACAGGTTACAGGATTTGGTTTTTGGTTATTTTTTCCTGTTAGTTGGCTCTTTCATTTGAATGTTATTTTTGTGTGTGGATCATGTTTTTATAATAATATCACCTTTCTGTATTCTCCCCCACTTCATCCCCCACTACCTTGGTCTTGTTTTATAAGTGATATCCTCTCAGGTCTCCCAGAAATCGTCATATAACCCAAGTAAGCTCGGGACCACCGTGGCCCCTGTCACAACCAGAGAACCGGAGTGGATGACTCAAGCAGTGGACAGCAGCCAAAACATGCTCTTAGGAAAATTCCCAAGGGAACTCACAACTTATAAGAAAGACTCTGAGAATATTTTGCGACATCTTTGTCTCTTCCCAAATAAATACATTTACATCAACTACATTTTCAGTGCACTTGATTCTGAAGGGACAGCGAAGGGCTCTGCACAGCATAATGTGGCAAAATTCTCTAAAATCCACTTGTAGCATCTGTGAGATACCATTCACCCCTTTCCCACATCCTCAAAGATTCCACAGTCTCTCCGAAATTACATCCTTTCATTTCCCTGCGGCCCCTGCCCACCTGATTGGCCAGAAGGGGCTGCAGTTCCCTCCCAGCCACTCAGCCTGGGAGATACCAAAACGCCCAGAAGTCACAGGCCTTCCTGTCCCTGCAGAAGAATAAATAACATTAAGTTCTCTGGAAACGTGGTCTCTGGTTCAGCGCTTAAGGGAAACTTGCAGAAAGAATTCTGAGGGAGGATTTCTAGTGAACAAAAGCAACACCACATCACACCAGCAGAGTTTGCTTTTCTTGCATTACCTTGGATTTTGGAGAGATGAGAGCCTCGTGCTGACCTGGGTTTTCATCTCATACCGATGGGTCTTCTGATGAGTCCATGCACATTTATAAACAAGTCCAGGACTTGTTTACAAACCTACTCCTCCAAGGTGATAGCCTGGACTGCGTTCCTGATCTTGGCCTTAGCCAACTTCGGGATTGCTGTAGGCTGCCGCTGGCCATGAGGGACGACTTGTTGCCCACACCTGGGGTCTAAGTGGGTGGGTGCCCCGTTCGATCCTCAGACCTGTGGGCCACATACCCTCTAAGAGCTGTTCCAACAGCGGCATCGTGGCTGTGGCCTGGCTGGACTCTGCAGGGGTTCCCTTGATTCCTCTGTGGAGGGTGTGCTCTGCCTGCTCCAGCCCCAGCCCCAGCCCCAGCCCCAGCCCCAGCCCCACCACCTCTGCTACCAACCGTGGTCCCAAGAGATGCAGGGTGGTGGGGTTTTCCAGGCCACACTGGCTGTGGGAAGGGGACCTGTGGCCTGTCCTGCTCCCCTTTTTTGTCTTGCAGATGGACTTCTGTGGCAGACGCCAGAGACAGGTCGTCCCAGAACCTGCGACCAGCAGGGCAAAGCAGACATCACCACCTGGGCTGTCCAGAGTGAACAGCTGGTTGAAGCCCCTCCACAATTACCAGGTGATATTTCAGTCCATGTTCTTGATCTTGGCCTTTTTATATTTATTCCCATGCTGCCTAGTATGTGGAAGTACGTCACATACAGAGTATCCTTTTACTGGGGCAGTGCCTGCCAGTTGTCTAGAGAGGGGAGGGGCTTTGAAAGGATTCCTCCACCAGAGCGGGCTCCAGATACAAACCAGGGACGCTCTCCCTCTGAACTCTGTCCTCTACACTGAGTCAACCCCCACACAGAGAGAGTGGGGTCATCCCCCACTCCCAACTCCTCACCCTCTGCACCTCCCATTCTCCCGGTACCTAAAGCAACCCCCACCCACACCCACACACAACACTCTCCTCTATTCTCTGCCAGGCTCGTTATCTTAGTGTCCTAAATAAAGTACAGATGCTTACACAGGGCCATCTGCCTCTCACCTGTGGTTGGTGCAGGGAGAGTGTGCCTGGCTTCAAGGGGGCGGCGAGGGGGCCCCAAGGTGGAAGGCAGAGAGCCACAGAGACAGGAAGGAGGTAAGACTTGGGCCACCGCGGCTTTTACAACGCTGAGCAAAGTTTGATCTGTGCGGTCCAATGAAGAAGACTGAGCTTAGTAAGGACTTTTAAAAAATGCTAAAGCCTATACAAAGTACATCTCAAGTTTGCTCACCCCAAGCCCCTTTCAGGTGCTTGCTCTGGGGCCCTGCCCCCCATGACAGAGCTTCCAGTCACCCCTCCCATGGCTCACTGATGGGGTTGTAGGTCTGGGGTCCTCCGGGAGTGGCTGTGCTCTGCGTTGCCCAAGGAGATGTCTGCCTTTGTACCTCAGTGGTGTGGCCAGGGCTGCTTGAGGTTTTGTGTGTCTTGTTTGATCCTCTTGCAACATCAGCTGTACAAGCTAGGCCTGTGAGTGCCAGCACCCCTCCCCCACTCCCCACCCTCAGCAGCACAATGGACGGTGTATGAGTTCCCTGGGCTGCTGCAGTAACAAGTAACACAGACTGGGCGGCTCAAACAAAGCAGTTTATTCTGTCAGTTCTGGCGCCAGAAGTCTGAGATCAACGTGTGGGCAGGGCCCGCTCCCTCTGAAGGCTCCAGGGGAGGACCTGTTCCTCTCTCCCAGCCCTGGTGGCCTCAGGCGTCTCTTGGCTGGAGGGCGGCTTCCTTCTGGGTGTCTTCACAGGGATGGCCCTCTGTTCTAATCTCTTCTAGAAAGGATGCCAGTCCTATGGATAAGGATCTGCTCTAAGGACCTCATCCTAACTTGATCACCCACAAATACCCCATTTCTGAGTAAGATTGCACTGGAAGGTCGTCTTCTGAGGGACACAGTTCAGCCCCTAACTGGGGGTTTGCCTATGGGCTGGATTATAACCATTATCTTCATTCCGTTTTGACCCATAACTCAGCCCTGTTTGGCTCCGTCTTTGTCCAGTGGCCATGCTTAGCCCGTACCTGCTTTATGGTGCAGCAAGCAGTTCGGGCTCACCTGCGCTTCCTGCCCACACCTGCCCTGGCCATCCCCCACCCCTGGGACGCTCAGCACCCTGTCTGTGCTGCCCCCCCCCCCCACTGGTCCTATGTGGTGGACACAGGACAGGTTCCCTGGCTGTCCAGGGTCAGGCTGCCTTGGGACACGCTTGTCAGTCCGCTTTCCCACCCTAGGTATGTATGCCCCACCCCCACTGGTGACACCCGGGAGGGGAGAGAGCAGGTGACTGGGCAGCAGGAACCCTGCTGTGGGCCCCGCCCTCTGCCTCCTGCTGCTGCCAACAAGAGCAGAGGTTAACCGTGTGAGGAGGGCTGTTCCGGGCAGGGAACTTCTGCACTGTTTGCCAGCACAGTTTGTTGCAAAGGGACCTTTTGGCCTGTTCCCAGAACAGCTCCTGCAGAGCCTCAGGGCTGATCAGGGGGCCCCTGATTTGTAATGAAAGTATGACCAGCAGCCCCCCTTCCTTTTTCTCTTTATAATTCTCTTGAACCTAAAATAAAATTGTTTCTGAAAGTGACCACAGGGAACCTGAGGGTGTGGCAGCTACAACATGGCTGTTCCACTTCAGGGGCTCAGCCCACCCACAGTCAGTAGGGGACTCAAGAGTTGGAAAATTTTTGTATAAGGTAAATAGTTATAAGCTTAGTAAGTAATGCATAGGTTAAAGCTTTTGTTTCAGAAACTACAGATAAGGCCCATTCTGGCTCCTGGGAGAGACAGCCGACCTCCTGGGGCACTGCTAAAGATTACCGAATAATGAAAGGCACACTGGGCACAGGGCTGGTCACAGGCCCACACTGACTTCCCAGGCTCTGAGGCAGGCAGGGCGGCCCCTCCAGGGATGCACGTGGTGCGCAGCAGACCCCAGGTGAGTGTGAGGAGATGCTGGCTGCTGTCCCAAGGCCAGGTGGGCTACCATCCCGCAGCACCCCGGCATTCTAGATTAGGACCCAGCCCCTGACACCCTGGGATGATGTATACATAGTGGATGGATTGTAAGTGTCATCTTTCTTCTTGCTCCTTTTTAATGTCACACAGGATGATCACATTCGATTATGTGACTCGGGGTTGCAGACAACAGAGGTCAGATGCCTCGCCGAGGAACACAAGTAGGTCCTTTCAAATACACATATTCCCACAGGTACAGAGGTCCCCGTGCATCACCATTCCTCTTTATTCAGGGCTGGGACAAGGCCCACGGTCTCCTTGTGGCTGGGACCATTTTGTCAAAGTTTTTTGCCTCTGTGTGGGCACAGTTCGGCGTGTTTGTAAATGTATATGCTATGTGTGTGATACAGTGCATGTGTGAGTCGGTGTATGTGGTGTGCATCTTTGTGTTACACCGTTTCCACACTCACTCTGGCTGGGGTCATGCCAGCAGGGCTGACTCCAGTGGGTCCACTGCTTGAGCTGCTCCTCATCAAACACCGACACACACTTGCCCTTCAAAGGTCACCATTAAGAAAATGAAAATAGAAGCCACAGACAAAAGTAAAATAGTTACAAATCATATACTTGTATCCAGAATACATAAAGAACTTTCTAAACTCAATTATGAGAAAAATGACCAAGTTTTTAAAATGGGCAAAAGATTAAACAAACCATTTACCAAGATGGACATGAAGGTGGCTAATAAGTGCATGAAGAGATGGCCACCCACCTGGCACCAGGGGGTGCAGATGAACAGCAGGAGACACCACTATGGACAAGGAGAGGCTAAAATCAAAAGAACCAACAGTGCCAAGCATTGGCACAGCTGTAGGGAAATTGGAAGCATCACACATTGATAGTGGGAAAGTAAAATGCACCACTTGGAAAGCATATGAACCAGCAATCCCACTCCCAGTTGTTCACAGAAGGAAAGTGGGAAAACACAGGTGCACAGGTCACCAGAGCCGGGAGGGTGTGTGCCGTCCCCAAGCGAGGTCCTTTCCATGGACCCGGGAGACTCTGAGGTACCAGTACTCAAAATTGGCTAAAAACTGAATGGAATTTACTGTGAGATAAGTTCAGTGTCAACAACTTCTATTCCTTTTATGTATTTCATTTATCTTCACAGTAAACAGATCACAACCCAAGTTCATTTGCATGCAGGTAAGCTGTGTTCTTACCAGAGTAGTTTCATCTGAGAATTAGCTCTATTCTCTTCTTAAACTGTCTAGTTCTTAAAAGTCTTTCTTATTTCAAGGTTATACAAATATCCTCCATATTCTTTGTCAAGTTCATAATTTTTATTTGCTTCCTTTATATTCTGATTTCCAAGTCATCTTGAATTTCTTTTCCCATTCACTGAGATAGGAGCTGAGGTTATTCCATCACAACATGACTATTGGTCACACTGCTGCCCTTCCCATAAAGTGAAAGGCCACCTCCCCTGACTCCCCCGGCTCCCGGGGACACCTGGCACAGATCTGCCCCCTGCCCTGCGCCAGTGTCCGTCTCACCGCTCCGTGTCCCACAGCAGCACAGAGCTGCTCAGATGGCAGGGCCTTACTCAGCCACCTCTGAACATCTGGTGGGTGAATCCCCCCTTATTTTTTTTATTACTTTCACAATTCCTTCAGATATTTATTTTTCCACATCAACTTTAATATTATTTTGTGCAGTTCCCAGAAACCTGGCATTTAAACTGGACTTACATTAATTACAAAGTGAGGGGACCCCAAGCTGGTCAGGAGCACAGCCTTCTGTGTGGCCAGCAGATAAGCGCACCCCCAGCTGGGCATCCGAGAGCCTCTTGAGTCGCTGTCTCTCACGTCTCTTAGCTTCCAGCTTCTACACCCAACTCTGGCAATTTTAAAGAAAACCCATCCACTTACCACACAACCTTCACAAGAACAAATTCCAGAGGGATGAAGGCATTTAACCTAAATATGCAACTCCTACATTATGAGAAAGGAATATTATGGCAACCTTGGGGCAAAAGAGTCTTTTATAAGCAGAACAGAAAACATGAAGGTAATAAAGGAAACATTAGGCAGATTTGACTACGTAAATTTCAAAGTATTTCAAGAACAAAAGACTAACAATATTAAAGATAAACGTATACAAATATTTTTCAAAATAGAGAAATAAAAAGGTTAATAGTGATGATATATAAAGAGCTTCTACAAAGTAGTATCAACTGTTGGAAGACAAAGGACAGGAGAGAAGAGACTGTGAGTGTGGGCAAAGGCAAAGAAAAGGGAAGAGAACAATGAGAGAGAGAAGAGCACCTCTCCTTCCACTTGGCCCCAGTCTGAATCTGAGGTCCTCGCAAGCGGCACGAGCAGCAGACACAGATGGGACCATTCAGCAGAGGAGTCTCGAGACTCAGGACCCAGGCAGAGGAGCCTGGGAGCCCCCGCTGACACGGGCGGTTGGCGCTTGGAGAGCAGATGGCCCTTTCCCACCTTTGCCTGAACCTCCACACCCCACCTCCGCCAACCAAAGACTGGAAACTTTGAAGACATCTGGAGACCGCCCCCAAGGCACGGACTTTGGTGTTTGGCTTCTGTGACCTTCCCCAAGTCTCTGTGAGCAGTGGGCACAAGAGAAGCCTGAGAGAAGCAAGCAGAGAAGTTGTCCCGTGGAGCCAGAACCAACCGACAGGTTGACAGACACATGTGAGGCACCCTTCTGGGGACTTGCAGAAAGAGCTGAAGGACATTTTGAGTGTCCTGAATGCCTGTCTTTACTTGGGATACTGCAACAGAAAATATCTGGGCATATATATGTATTTCTTTCAAAGTCTGGAAGAATAATGTTTTCTTGGGGAAGTGGAATTGTAAGAGGAGACAAGAAATCCCACTTTTTGTTGTATATATTTCTGGGATTTTTATTTTTTAATAAGAAACATACTACTTTCATAATAATAACATGCAAGAAGATTGTCCCATTTAGAAAACACACACACAAGAAATGACATTTGGCCTTTCAGGACTGAGCCTCCCTGCAGCATGCTGGCAATGGCGCAAGCTCACGACCACATCACCCCGTGTACGCCACGACCTGCGGCGGGAAGTCAAGCACAGAGCAGTGGGGTGCATGCAGTTCCCTGGCTTCAGTGCCTGGAGCCAAACCATGTCCAAGGGCAAAAGCTGGTTTGCTGGTCAGCATGGAGCACAGGCCTAGTTAATATCCCTGGCCTGGATGTCCTGACTTATCCTGCCTCCAGAGTTCTTAGAGAAACATGTTCCTCTGTGGACAGTCACCGCCAAGTTCAAAGGGTTTCTCTCACACGTGCTTAGGTCACAAACAGGAGATGGACACGAGGCCTCACACCTCGACTGCTGCTCCCGTGAAAATGTCCAGCGTTCTCACCAAGATTCACAAGGCCTTGCCTTCCTCTCCAGCCTCATCTCTCCCCTCTCCCAGCTCTTGATCCAGGTACTAAACCAGGTGTGGTCCCCAAACTGTCACCACTCTCTAACCTGGAACCCCTCATCTATTCCTTGGCTCATTCTCCCATTCCCACTGTTTCATTACCACCCCCACACCCCCTGCAGAGAGCCCTTCCTGGGTGAGATGCCATCGGTGTGGCTCCAGGAACATGCTGCGTCATCCTCAGAAACATCACTGCTGGTCACCAGATCACATGTGTGGCCCTGTCGGACAGGTGGCTCTCTGGCAGGGTGATATGTTACCACAGTAGCCTCCAGCTCTGTGGGGAAGAAAAAGACATTGCAAAACTTCAACAAACAACTGTACATACCAAAGTTATCTCTTCCTGGAAGAGAAACTTCAAAACAAAAAGAGAGTTAAATGCCAACAGAGGTAACTGAGACTGCAGACCTCCTACACAAAGTTCTCAGTGTCAGCCTGTCCATTTACCAGGGTCGAGGAGGAGTCATGAGTCCTGGAAGGCAAGGAAAGCCCACCTGGGGGCTGGAGGTCTGGTTCTGAGCCTACCCAAACTGCCATGACCTCGGGAAAATCCCTTCACTTCTCAGGCCTGTCTGTCTGGGTCCTATGCAGTAAAGAGCTGGGCCAGGTGCTGGCTAAGATCCTGGGGCAGGAGATAGGAGAGAAGCTGACTGACCTGAAAAGCACCTCAGTTGAGCTCTACCCAGCCTTGACCTCAGCCCTGGGTACAGCCCAACCCAAATCCTCCTGCCTCAAACAAACTCTGTGTGTAGCAAACATTCACAGTCTGGGTCATAGGGCAAAAATCTCACCAAGGCCTTTGCAGTTGGTGCTCTTTACAAAGAAGTAAATCCTGACTGGGCTGTTACCTTTTCTTTGAAAGGAAGGGCGTGTTTTGCTCGGACCTTATTTCCACCACGACCAGGCAATAACCAGCCCCACAGTGCTGGCAGTGGTGACAGCCCAAGCCTCCCTCCCTGAGGCAACTCTGAAGGCAAATTCAAGCCCCCTTTCCAAGAGGTTGGAATTGGGCTACTATGTTACCAGGAAGAGGGAAGTGCATCTGTTATCACCGATTTCACTAAGCAAGGGGAGAAGGGGAGAGTTTGTGGATATTTTTCCTCTGTTTCACTAAATGCACAGGCTTGGGCATCAATCAGACTTGGGATCAAGTGTCAATTCTGCCACTTTCTAATTATTTGACTTTATGCCAGTTTCCAGCCACTCGGCATCTCAGTTTTGAACCTGTAGGGTGGGGATTTGATGCCTGTCGTGAAGGGTTGTTATGGGGAGTAAATGGACCAACACCTGTCAGGCACACAGCCCAGGGCCTGCCTGAGCAGAGTAGTAAGTGCTTAGCGAATGAAAGTAACTGTCAACAGAGCAACAGGATTTATGCTTGTAAACGGATTTCTCTGTGAATCATGGTCAGAGCCACATGCTGATCACATAGCCCAAAATTCAGGCCTTTTCATGACACTTGCTCACCACCCCACAGCTCCGGCTACTTTGGGTTAGACAACTGAGACTCCAGAATTGTAAACACGAAAAGCCCCTGCGCAGACTGGCCTGTTGCTGACCACAGCAGCAGCCTCAGAACCCAGGGACCCCCTGGCCAAGAGCTCTGGTTTCTCTCTGCCCTGGCGGCACAGCCCTGAGACCAGGCTGCCCAAACTCAAGCTACCAACTTCAAGCCTGGGAGCTTTCGCTTACTCATAGTGGGGCCTTTAGCATAGTCACTCTTTAACCTCATGAAAAATCACCTCGGCCTGCTCTGTGGGGGAGGGAGCACCAGGAAGTTGGGGCACCAGAAGGATGAGCAGCCCGAGCCTCCCTCCAGCTCTGCTGGCAGGTCCCCAGGCGCCTCTGCCAGCTCTGGGCCAATGAACCTTTCTGGGCTATTGTAAAAATCAAAGAATCAAGATGAGTCAGGCCATGGAGTGAATAAAGACTAGCACTCCCAGTGCAAGTCAGGGTCCTCAGCCAAACTCTCCCTGGCTTGGTTAATAAATAAGCCAGTGATTAAGCTGCTCAAGCACATTCTATTCTGTAGCCCAGAAGGGATCCTCCCCATTACAAGGGACAAAGACACTGGATCAGTAGCATTAGTCCCTGTCCAACTTCCCTGTGTCTATGTCTGCTGTGTGTGATGTGGGACAAGACCATCTCCAACCCGAGTCACTTCTGGGGCACCCCCAGGACCTGAGAGGACCCAGAAACAAAGGGAGGTTCCCGGGACCCTGTTGTAGGGGATTGGCCTGGGAGGGTGTGGGGTGTGCTTGGCATGGTGCCAACCCTGTTACATATATCCCCTCAGGTAATCCTCATAATAATCCCATTTGCAGGAACTGTTACTAGTGTGAAGGCTTAGAGAGGTTAAGTGGCATGCCAAAGAAATTAGCAGGAGCCGGTCTTAAACCCCACAACTTGATATGGAAGAATATCATGTTATACTGCCTTTACCATTTTACTACAAATATGGTATTTCCAAAAACTAGGGATGAGTGAGCAGTGGAGTTACTTGGAAGGGCTCAGTGGAAAAGAGGGAGGGATCTGCTGGGAGCCAGGGGAGAGGAAAGGGTGAGGAACCCACATGCTGGGAGAGAGTCAGGCATGTTCAGGAGGTGGGGGCAGGACTGAGCACAGATTTTGTTACGGTGCAATTATCTCACATCCCTGCTGCGATGTATCGAAACTGTAAGTTAAAGCCTGCCTGAACGTGATGAATGAGCGCTGTAAAAACACCAGTTAATTTTAGCAGCTCTGGTAAAGGTCTCGCCCCCGAGAACTCAGGGTGAGAGAGCTGCAGGGTAGGCAAGCACATGTCCTCCCTGGCAGCTGTCCCCAGCCACCCTCCTGATGCTCTGTGGCCTGGGGCATTGAGGACTGGGGTGGCTCAGGATAGCTTCTTCTACACAAGCTCTTTAGACTCAGAATCCTTTTAAAGAGAAAGTTGATCTTTTGTGTGTGTGTGTGCTTTGGAAATTCTACTGTACAGATGGTTCTGTACAAGTTTAATTTCTTTGCTTTTTGGCACTTACCATCCTTTTATGTTTTTGTTTTCATTAGATTTTTACAAATCAAATGCATAATATTTCTTTTAAAATTAAGGTCATTTGGGTCACTAGTTCAAGACTCACAACAAGACACATTCCAGGTTGTCGTGACACAACCAGAGGAGGCAGTCACTGTCTGGCTGAGATCCCAGCTCTTGTGGGAGAACATGGAGCCCACACATCAGCCCCCAGCTCCCAGATAGCAAGAGTCTCTCCCTCCTCCTCAGGCCCTCAGCTCTGGCTCTGACCTCAGACTGTAGCTCTCTGTGACCAGGCCCCATGTAGGAAGTTCCTGGGGGTGAGAATGATGCTCCATCCACTCTTCCAACAAGTAGGCCTTAATGCCTTCTAAGGGCCAAGCAAACTGCAGGTCCCTGGGTTACACCTGTGAGCAAGACTGTCCTGGTAGTGGAAAGTCATCCTGCTTAAGTGTATAACCCTGGAGCTAGACTCCCTGGATTTGAATCCCAGCCAGCGACGTGACCCTGGACAAGTCACTTAACCTTGTATATCTTAGTTTCCCCGTGTTTACAATGGCGACGATAACAGTACCCATCTCATAGCAAGGAGAGGATTGAGTGAATCCATATATGTTAAGTGTGTTTATGGTTAGTACCCAATAAGTCCTACATATAAGTTCTGATGAAATAGACTAATACAATAAAATACAAGTGCTCTCCAATGCAAGGGTAAATACAAGACGTTTTAGGAGGACACAAGAAGGGTGCATCACCCAGACTTAGAGGGCTTCCCACAGGACATCGTGCTCTAAGCAGAGACTTAAGAATCAGTTAACCATAGTAATAAGATGTGAGGACAGGGAAAAGAATGTTCCAGGGTGGCTGCACAGCACATGGAAAGGCATGGAGGCAAAAGTCCATGCTTTCTTTGGCCTCGTTTTAAAAAACAAACAGTAAGTCAGTCACTAAATAACAGTTATTACAGAATTTGTAATGCACCTTCTATCCATTAACCATTCACATACAACCCACAAGGATTCAGAGCCA